CAAGTCAGCTAGGGCTTTATATGTCAAACTCAACTTCATCTGGTGCTGAAAAAATAGCCAATAAAAAGCATGCACCTGCAAATGAGAGAACTTGATCTTCAAACTACCATATTTGCACCAGCAATTAACTAGATATACATGCAACTACCCAGATTTACAATTTCACTGCATTTACAAAAATGCAGGTGCATATTTTGCGTATGTACTCATATCTATTCTCCACTGTTGACAATTTGTCAAGTGTTTTCTTGTTCTATCTGTTACAAGAGGGTTTGGGCTGCTGTTGATTGTAATTAATTCATTTATATGCATCCAATATGAAAAGGGAATCCTAGTTTGTTCTGCTAGATAAATAATCCATTGAATGTCTAACCCTGTCCTGGGGATTTTCAACCAGCCTAAGTCAGGAAGAAGGTTGGAATGGACCCAGCTGAATTGAAGTGATTTTGCATGTAACATGCTGAGTCTAAAGGTATGCCTTTCTGCACCACACAGTGACTCTGGGTTTATCTGAGTTTTAGCCCTAAACCCCTTGACATCCAAACAGAAAAATCTTTGATCTGGATTTGGAAGTTCTTTAAGGCCAGCTTGTTTAGCCTGCTGAGGGGTGTGGGCTAGAGCCCAGGCTCTGCTCTAACTTGGGCCAGCACCAGTCCACTGTGCAATGAAATGCCAGCAAAAATCATTTGAACGTTACCAATCCTCCACTGCCCTTCCCACAGTTCTTCTTTGTGGATAAACAAGCTCTCTCACAATTGACTGGGAAGTCTCTGTGAATTGCTCACAATAAAGAGCCATGGCATAAACCTCCACACACACACACACACACACACACACACACACAAAGCAGTGCAGAAACAGTTAGGATGCAGTAGTGCAACTATGGCTTTGCTGTGGGAGTGCTCACATCCAGCCTAGACTAATCCAAATTCCAGCCACTCAGGTTAACTGTGCACCATAAGTATCTCCCAAATCAAAAGCAGTTTAATCCTTTTTTTTCCTATATGAAATGCAAATTTTCATACTCCTAACGTTATATGTGCTCTAAACAAATAATAAAAATAATGTAACAGAAAATAGAATATCCAGATACAGAGATCTAATTATATTTTTCAAAAATTTGAAACATTGCAGAATTATTATGGGAGCTAACTTAAAATATACTTTGAATACTTAAGTTTATCCAATAAGATTAAAGATTATCACAAGATTTAATAGCTCTGATTTTGTGCTCACTATTATGTTACTATTTCATATGTCATCAGCTAGATCAGCCATAATGAAAGTAGTAGGAGCAAAAGGGCTTGCAGTCAAATACACAAAGGCAAAGTGGTTATAAAAGCTAGTATTCTGTTCTGTTAACATTTTACACAATGTTGCACTAATTTTGTACAGACATAATTGATTGCACAGGGTGGAAAGCAATGGAAACTCAGGTTCTAAGCATCAATAAATATTATAAAGCAAGTTGACATCACATAATATTTAGTTAAGAGCGACTAGAGAGCAATTACAGTTTGTGATCATAGTTCCAAATAATATCACAAGATGCCAAAAGAAGGAAGTAAACAAGAAAAATAATGAATGGGGAAAAGTAGGGAAACAAGTTTAACACAATATAGGTACTTGAGGAATGAGGAAAAAACTTTTGATCATCGTTCTGTGACTGAACAGATAGACTTTGTTTGAAATTAAGCTACCCAATTGTTGATACTGCATTGAGCTGGTCAGAACATTTTTTACAAAATAAAATTTCATCTAAGTAAGTTATTTTGTCAAAGCCAAAATGTTTCATGGAGGCATCTCGGTTTCAGCAAAGTTTTTGTATGAAAGGGTGTTTTTTGGATCCAGAATTCTGTGATCACTTCTGACAAGAGAGAGAGATCGAAATGAAAAGCTCAGGCTTTTGTTCTGAAAAAAGGATCTTGCAATATATTTCTATTTCACAAAAACATTCCAAAGGTTTTGGTTTTGTTCCAGTGCAGAATGAAAACAAGATTTGAAACCTCAAGAATTTCCATGAAATGGAATTGTTGTGTTCCAGACAGTTCTATGTTACATTATAACAAGACTAGTTCTCACTATTAATTAGAACTATCAAAATCAGAATTTCCAAACTATGGGAAATTTGGACATTGCAATATGTTTTTGTGTTGAATCAGCATGAAAGTTCTAAATAGCAATTTTTTTTCATGGATGGAAAGTTCAGACTGATGTCAGTTGACCCCATCACTCTGAGCTCTTAACCCAGCCTCTCTCCTAATGCACCATGATCATCTGGATTACATAATAGACTGCATTATTAGCTAGAGGGGAAAGTGTGATCCACTGTGGGATCTCTAGTCTAGCCAGGGAACCTGGTATGAGAAGTACAATGGGGGCATGAGGCATCTGAACTACATCTTCTGTGAGGCACTGGAGCAGTTCAGGTGAATTAGAGATTAAGGTCAAACTGACCTCAAAATGAAGTGTTTCAGTTTGATTCAACAGACTCAATTGTTTCTATTTGGGATCACCCAATCAGAAACCAAATATTTTGTTTTGATTTTCCTGACAAACAACTTTTTAAAAATCAGAACTTGCCCCCTGTTTTGCAGAAATTGCATTTTGACAAAAAAAAATCCTCGCCAGTTCTAATATTAAGTATTTTTATTATAAGTGGGACATAAAGAACATCATGTATGAAGAATGTCACCTTGTAGTAATAATTTGCAATTCTATACTACCTTTTATCACAACTTATTTTATCAATGTTATTTAATAAGCCTCTCCATACTTATGAGGCATGTATTTATCATCCCTATTTTTCAGATGGGGAACTGAGACAGCAATTAAGGACAATATTTATTGTCCACCAATTTTGAGAACTTCTTTTTTATGTTGCCCAGCCTAAGAAATCTAGGGCCTAATTCTCACAGGTGGTGAGCATCCACAGTTTACTTTTAGATAAATTATTTATAAGTCATCCTCTATTTAAATTATTTCCTACATAAAAGTCTAAGTTAATATTATACTGAAAATATTGTAAACATACCTTGCACTTGATCTTCATGTTTTAGTCCTAATCCCAAACCTAGTCCAAGTGATACAACCACCAAAGCAACTAGAAGAACCTGTCACAAAAAATCATATACTGTGAGGTATTTCATTTACAAATTACACAAAAATTGGGTGAATGGTAAATAATACAGAGTACAGGTCACTAAATGAAAGTGATCTAGATTGCATGGCAAACTGGGCAGAAGCAAACAATGTGCACTTTAATATGGGTAAATGTAAGTGTTGTCTACCTGAGAGTTATCTTAGCCTTTTATTTTACTTAGCAGCAATATAAAGGAACCTACCTACCTGCCTGTATCCTGTGTAAGACATTGGCTTTAGTAAGGCAGAACATAGAATGTAGGCCTTACAGGGTGGGGGAGTTTATGCTGGGAAGCATTGACTCTGAAAAAGATTAAGGAGTTTTGTGGTGGATTAATCAGCTCCCAATGCAAAGTTGTGGCCAAGGGAACAAATGCAATCTTGGTTTCCCTAAACAGGGAACTCTCAAGTAGGAGTAGATAGGTTATTATACTTCTATATGTGGCACAGTATATCTGGAATATTGTGTCTGTTCTGATGCCCACAATTTCAGGATGTACGAGGGACTCAGATCCCTAGGTAATGCTCAAACCACAGCTACCACCTGGCAGCTTTATGGAACCTGTAGAGTAGGAGGCTAGTGGAGCTTTAGCTCGCTAAGGGCTTCACTCACTCCTTACTGGGAGTCATCCAGCCCCACTGATTGGTTCAAATGCTCTATTTAAGCCAGAGGAAGCTCAGGAAGGAGTCTGAGTAGTTGTGTGAATTTCTGGATGGTTGCTATTGTGAACCTTGCATACTCACCTGATTCCTGAGCTCTGCCCTCTTTATCTTGTATCCCCGTCTGCTCCCAATACCTGCTTTCCTACCTCACTCCACAACCCTGCTCCCGCAACCTCTCCCTGACTCTGACTCCAGCTCTGACCTTTGTCTTGGTACACATCTTGGTAGCCAGCTCTTCTCCTGACACTGGTTCTTGGCTTCCAACTCTAACTGTAGGGCATGACCATCCACGCCCTGGTCCTTACACAATATTGATAAATTGGAGAGAGTTCAGAGAGGAGCCACGGGAATGATTAGAGGATTAGAAAACATGCCTTATGCTGATAACCTAAATAAACTGAGTGTAACAAATAGAAGGTTAAAGGATGATTTGATAACAGTTTATAAGTACCTACATGGAAATAAATATGTAATAATGGGCTTCAATCGAGTAGAGAAAGTTATAACTGAATCCAATGGCTGGAAGTGAAAGTTAGAGAAATTCAGACCACAAATAAGGAGTACATTTTTAATGGTAGAGAGTAATTAACCATGGGAACAAATTACCAAGGGTGGTGTTGAATTCTCCATCACTGACACTTTTAAAAGAAGAGTGGACAGCCTTCTAAAAGATCTGCTCTAGGAATTATTCTGGGGAAGCTCTTTGGCCTTTGTTTTACAGGAGGCCAGATTAGATGAGCACAATGGTTCCTTCTGACCTTAGAATCTCTAAGCCTTTATCATATATTCTGTACATCAGTCATATCGATGACTGTTAGCAAACATACAAATTGGGGTGATCCTGAGCTGAGAAACGTGTGAGAGTCTGCAATTATAGGCATAAAAGTAAAACTTGTGTGTTATGCTGCTTATATTTTAGCAAGAAGCTGTCACAAACATTTTCCCCCTAACCTGTGAATAATTCCATGTGGTAAGATGGGATGTATTTGCATGAAGAGTGAATCTATTAATTAGCTTTCCACTTAAAACAAAAAAGCTTCCTTATAGCCACAGAGAAAGGCAGCACTTGATAAAATACTTATACTAAGCACATTTACCTTGAAGTGATTACACTTTAATCTTAAGAAGTACAGCATATATTGATAATGGAATATGCAATCCTTGTGTCATTTGCCAAAGGTGCATTTTAATCATGTCCCTTAGCATAGTCAAAAGATTTAAAACCCTAATCAAATAAAAACATTACTATTTTTCTCAATACCAAAATATTATTCTCTCACCCATCATCTCTAGAACCCACGTACTCACCCTCCCTCCTTCCCTGAAACAGCTAGATAGTGGAAGGGTGGGAGATAAGCTTCCAAGCCTCTGGAGAACCAAAGATGGAAGTAAATTAGAATGCCCTGCCAATAATCCTCTAATATATGCAAGAGGATTAATAGCTTGAATTAATCAGAGCTACTAAAGAATAAATAAACAGTCTGAAAGGTAGACAGGAGCAGGGACAAAAACCTCTTAAAGACTTCTAAATTGTTTATTTACTAGTACATTTACCCAGCATTGTTTGGGTCATTGAGAAGGGACTCAGGGCAGGGAGCAGGAAATGTGGGGAGATGCAGAAGTCAGGATTGGGGTGAGGAGGGGCTCAGGGTGGGAAATGGGGGGTGCAGGACTCAGAGGGGGTAGGTGACTCAGGGTAGAGTGTGGGGTGCAGGAATCAAGGCAGGGGGTTGGGAGATGTGTAGGGGGTACAAGGTAGAGAGAAGGAGGTACAGGAGGCTAGCTGATCCCTGGGTCTGGTAATGCTTCCTATCTGGTAGCTCTCCAGGCTGGCTGGTGCATGGAGGTCCACACTGCCTGGATGGTTGCTCACGAGCATGGGAACCTTACCTGCGTACAGTGGCTGGCAACATTCAGAGTCAGCCACTCTCTTACCAATTCCTTCCCCTCCTAGCTGTGGCCCTTTCCTCAGCTGCATACACCTACCACCCCACTACCAGTTTAATCTAGGGGCCTCTATTCCAGCCTGAAGCCAAACTCAAAATAAAAACTGGCTCAGAGGGATAGCTGCTGCTTCTCCCCTTCCACCTTCCTGCCTTTGCATGCTTGCCTGAACTAATGCTACCTTCTTTCTCTCCCTTTCCTTCTTTCAAGACCCTAGGAACCTCTGCTGCATTAAAGGAGCTAGGTGCTTGAAATATATGGCAGAATGCAGGTAAAACCATGAAGCAGGAGATATACAATTCTTCCCCAAGGAGCTCTGTCACAAATTTAATTAACACATTATTTTTAACAGCCATCTTTAGCATGGAAGCATGGCCTGTGGAATGGTGGCAGAAGACTAAAGGGGCCTCTGAATGTTTAGCATATTTGGCAGGTAAATGCCTTGCCATGTCAGCTACAATAGTGCCACACAAATGCCTTTTCTCACTTTCAAGTGACATTGTAAATAAGAAGTGAGCAGCATTATCACCAATAAATATAAACAAGCTTGTTTTTCTTAGCAATTGTCAGAATAAGAAGGACTAGCGGGTATGTAGGCTCTAAAGTTTTACACTATTTTGTTTTTGAGTGCAATTATGTCACTAAACATCTATATCTGTAAATTGCACTTTCATAATAAAGAGATTGCACTGCAGTACTTGTATGAGGTGAACTGAAAAATACTATTTTAATCTTTTTAGAATACAAATATTTGTAATAAATATAACAAAGTTTTGTAACTGAAATCAATATATTTGAAAATGTAGAAAAACACTCAATATTCTTGTAAATGTAAATTGGTAGTCTATTATTTTTAACATTGTGATTAGTCATGATTTATTTTTAATTGAGTTAATTTCTTTTGAGTTAATCACTTGCGTTAACTGCAATTGACAGTACTATCAATCTTACTCTACTATTTTAACTCCCTCGTGTATTTCATCTTTTTCAGATAATCTTCCACCGCCATCGATCTCCCTCATAATCTTCTCATTTTACTTACCGAACAGTTGAAAACACAGATTTATATTCAAAAAAGAAAAAGAAAAGAAAAAGGCATTGGGGGACCTTAGTTTTCTTTGTCTTTTAGGTTTCTAATATTTTTACTGTCTTCTTTAATAAAGTGAATGCGAAATGTCAGTTTTGGATCATGTTTATACAGTCATCACAGATTATATGATTAAATAGAGTTTGTTTTGGCCTATTTAAATTGGTTCTGTTTGTTAGAATGGTTCTAAGTGGTTTCAAATTGCTCTCTGTGGCTGTACCTAATTCCATTCAGACTTTTCTGTGTGGCTCTGTTTTCATTATTTCTGGAGATTCTAGTGTCATAGGCAGAGCTTCCTTCCCCACATCACCTTCCCCGGCTATTAGAAGTATGTTTCTTGCTCTTCTGGTTACAAAGAAAAGCTTGAAAAAGTGCAGTGAGAGAACAAATAAAAACAATCCCAATTGTATATTTACAAGCCAATTTCATTCAAGAGAGGGGAGTTGACCCCCTAATATCTTACCATTTTGGGATTACAATATTATATTAATCTCTGCTTTTTTGCTTTTTCCTGGACCATGTTACAAGGACATTATTCACTAGTTTCTTTGTATGTGTTTTCTGGTTTCCTAATGAAATATCTGAACACTCAGAGACCAAAAATAAATTAAAATAAAATAGAAATCATAGCTGCCTTAAGCCATAAATACAAAAAGCTAACTTTTCTTATTTTAAACAACTACATAACATGTAAAGTACTAAATACATTTGTGATAGGCTCTTAGGCTACATCTAGACTGCAAGCCTCTTTCGAAAAAGAGCGTCTAGACTGCAAGCAGTACTTTCGAAAAAGCAAGCCGCTTTTTCGAAAGAGAGCACCCAGGCAGTCTGGATGCTCTCTTTCGAAAAAGCCCTGTTTGCATTCAAGAATGCCTTTTTTCGAAAGATCACTTTCGAAAAAAGGCGTTCTTCCGCGTGAAATGAGGTTTTCCGCTGTCGAAAGAAAAGCTGCGTTCTTTCTATTTAATTTCGAAAGAACGTGGCTGTAGTCTAGACGCAGGTGAAGTTTTTTTGAAAAAAGCCTACCTTTTTTGAAAAAACCCTCGAGTCTGGACACAGCCTTGCAAGAGTAATACAACAAATACAATAATGTTACAATAAAAGTGAGGAGATGAATGCAACAACCTCTTTGTTCTGTGTTGCTGTTCACTGAAGCCTGAAGTTTTTGTTTTTGCCATACAAAAAATGAAATGTCAGTGTATTTCAGTAACGTGCTGTTTTATACTGATAACATAATAGCTCTGCTATTGCTGAGGCTGCCTGACTAATAGTGTAGAATTCAGAATCCTTCCAGAAAAGTTCATATACCCTTTCTGCAGAATTCCAATCCCACTTGGCATATGATAATAAAACTTTTCTCTAACAAATATCAAGTTTATAATGCATAAGAACAACATTCAAAAGTCTGAAAGAATCAGAACAGTCACTACTTACACCACATATTATCTTGTATTTCAGAAGTGTTTTTTTCTTGATAATTTCTTCTGTTTGTAAACTCATTAACTCCACCTGGCTACTTTGATGTGCATTTGTTTCTCGGTCAGATATCATTTTGCTGTGAGTTGTCTTCTGATATTGCTATAGCCCTCTATCTCCCTTTTCAGCTCAGCTACCGCTAATGTTTCATCTTGGCATGCACTGAACGCCTGGCTCTGTGGTTTCTGGATTTTAATGAGATCAGAGTTCCTGAGTCATAGGGCTGTAATAAGTCACAATAACGGAGAAACACACTTAATAGGGTCAAAGTGTGAAAAGCCTGATCAAAGTCATAGTTTTGCCCCTGCTCAGTACAACATATAGGGTTTTTTGTGTTTGTTAGTTATTTAACATAAGGAGAGTAATTTAAAATCAAAGTTCAGGATTAATTTGTGACCACACAGTAAAGTGAACAAATACAAAATAATAATAAATTAAAATACTTGATTAAAAGCCAATCTTCAATTCAGCATGCTAGTCATTATCCTCAAAGTTACATAAACATAATAAGCCAAATCCATTATCATATAAGAGGAATTTTTGTCTTAGATTCTATACTGTATCTTCGTCTTTTTCCATGCTAGCCCTTGTGTTTTGAAGTCCTTTCTCTTACCTCTGCATCAATCCTACCTTAAAATCCAGTGTTTCCATGATGCCTTCCAGTTAAAATTCATTAGTAATACAATAGATGTTTTAGTTAAAAAAAACCCATACCAGTATTGCCAACTCTAAACATTACCAAACATGAGCAAGACACCGCCAAAAATTAATTAAATTGACTTAAATATCACAAGGCTGAGACAGGAGCTTTGGGTTTTGCAGGGCTGCAGTAATGCAACTCCTCATTGCTTTTCTTGCCTGCTTGCCCCAGCTCTGTCAATTCAGTGCTGTGCTGGGGACTGGGAGCCCAGCTGTAAGGAGCCAAGAATGACCTAGTGCATTCTCTCAGGGAGAAGCCCCATTGGTGGCTTTGCAGAAGAGAGCAGGTAGTCCCAAAGGGGACCTGCCCTCCCAAATCCCTGTACTTCAAACTCCATTCTTTTCCCTCTTTCCTTCCTTTTTTCTCTCTTCCACTTTCCTCTGTGCCTGCCTTTGGGCCCTGTCACACAGCCTCACACGCATCTGGTATCACTGCAGCATGCAAGTGCAAAGAGCAGTTTGGTGCAGACTCCTCCTCCCTCACTTCTGGCTTCCAGCACTAAATTCCACAGCACTTCTGTTTATCCCTGAGTCTGGTTAGCCAAAAGTTTCAGCTATCCCTCTGGCCATTTGTACAAAGAGTAGTTTTCATTGTGTAGAAGACATCTTAATGCATTACTGGCAAGCATTCTAGGATCAACACAAAATAGTAAAGCTTGAGTAAATCATGATGTACCAGCAGTGAAAGTAACTTAAAACTTTCTTACATGCTGGTGCATGGTAAGACAAGCATCATAGTAGCATCTGAGTCTGTGGTGCTCACATTTGTTAAAGCAGAGTATGAAGTACCTAACAGCTATTAGAGTATTTTTCTTTATAAAATACAGATTCACTTTTCAACAAATAAAAATATTTTTCACATTTATTTTAACCTGCTACAATAGTAAAATATGTACATATGAATACATACAAATTATGTTACAGTACGTGAAATATTGTTAGGAGAAAAATCCCATTATCTGCTGAGGGAGATATACCTAAGAAAGAACTGAAAGACTGAGTCCACAATATATACTGAAATTAAATATGTTAACTCTTTGCTTCATGAACTTAAAGATACCTGCAGCAGGAGAATCCTACAAAACTTAGAATTGGCAAAAGCCTTCACATGCTTCTGTGTAATCTTCATCAGCAATGTTATAGAAATACAGTAATTACTCGTTTAACACGTGCCCGCTTAACACGTTTTCGCAATAGCACAGTTTTGTTTTAGGAAAAGTTTTTTGAATAACACGACTGTCCCTGAAATAACAGAAAAATAATTAAGTAGTGGACTACTTCATGCAATGGTATAAGTTGGTGAAAACAGTAGTAATACACATGAGCAGATGAATACATGTGGTCACAGTGCTCCTTCTCTCACTCACGTGTTTATCTTTGTGTTTTAACAAACCGCGGCGACTTGTGTTGCTAGATATCTAATGTTAACGTTGATGACCGAGCACCAACAAAAAACTGACTTTGCCACCACCACCTGAAACGCGACCCCCACCTTTTCCATTATTTTTAATGGAAAAATTGACCCCGCATAGCACATTTTCACTTAGCACAAACATTTTCGGAAACACATCTGTAGTGTTAAATGAGGAATTACTGTAACAGTCACGGCATCATAGAAATGTAGGCTAGAAGGGATCTTGAGAAGTCATCTAATCCAGCCTCCCAAGCTAAGGCAGGACCAAGTAAAACTAGACTATTACTGACACAAGTTTCAGGATTCCATGACCACCCTTAGAAGCCTATTCCAGTACTTAACTATTTTTATAGTTTGAAAGTTGTTCCTGTTATTTAATCTGTAAGTCTATTGCTATTCATTACTTCTTGTCTTATTTTCAGTATATAAAGAGAACCATTGACCACCATCCTCTTTTGAACAACCCTTCAGATATTTAAAATCACTTATCAGGTTCCCCCTCAGGTTTTCTGTTCTCAAGACTAAGCATACTCAATTTTTTAGCCTTACCTCAGAGGTCATGTTTTCTAAATCTATTATCATTTTTGTAGCTCCCTCTGGACTCTCTCCATTTTATCCAGCTCTTCCTTAATGTGTGGCGCCCAAAACTGCAAACAATACTTCAGCTGAGGCCTCATGAAAGTTGAGCAAAGTAGGATAATTGCCTTCCATAGTTTACATACAACATCCTGTTACACCCCTGAATATTAGGCTTTTCCATATTTGCATTACATTGCTGACTCATATTCTATGTGGCTACATCTAGATTGCATCCCTTTTTCGGAAAGGGCTACGTCTAGATTGCATCCCTTTTTCGGAAAAGGGATGCAAATTAGACGTATCGCAATTGCTAATGAAGCGGGGATTTAAATCTCCCCCGCTTCATTAGCATAAAAATGGCTGCCGCTTTTTTCCAGCACGGATCTTTGCCGGAAGAAAGCACCAGTCTAGACGTGGATCTTTTGGAAAATAAAGCCTTTTCCGAAAGATCCCTTATCCCTCTTAAAATAAGGGATCTTTCGGAAAAGGCTTTATTTTCCAAAAGATCCACGTCTAGACTGGTGCTTTCTTCCGGCAAAGATCCGTGCTGGAAAAAAGCGGCAGCCATTTTTATGCTAATGAAGCGGGGGAGATTTAAATCCCCGCTTCATTAGCAATTGCGATACGTCTAATTTGCATCCCTTTTCCGAAAAAGGGATGCAATCTAGACGTAGCCTGTAAGATCTACTATAACCCCTGAATCCTTTTCAGCAATACTACTGAATAGGAAATTAAGACCCATTTTGGTTTTGTGCATTTTTTTCCTTAATAAGAATAGTACTCTTGCATTTGTCATTACTGAATTTCATCTTGTTGATTCCTGACTCATTCTCCAATTTCTCAAGGCCATTTGGAATTTGAATTCTCGTCTCCAATGTGCTTGCAATTCCTTCTATCTTGGTGTCAGCCACAAATTTTATAAACATACTCTCCACTTCATCCACATCATTAACAAAAGTGATAAACATTACCAAAATAGAACAATCCTCTGCAGGACTACCTATGTCCACAACATTTGTCCTCCCTGTTTGACAGTGAACCACTAATTATAATTTAAGATAAAAAATAACAAATGGTCCTGCAGCACCTTAGAGATTATCAAAAAATGTAGATGATGTCATGAGCTTTTGTGGGCACAACCAACTTCTTCAGATGAATGGAGCAAGGGGTTTAGAAGTCCAAATCAACAGCAGAAAAAGAAGGGATGGGGTAGAAAAGAGAAGAGGAAAAAATACTTGACGGTTAGAATGTCTGTGCTAAATGAGGCCAATACAGTAGGTTGTAAGTGCCTGATACTTAGCGTTTGGTATCATTAGAGTGTTGAATATAGCAGTGCATCCAATTAATGTTTTTGCTCAGACCTTGTTTAAAGTTGTCACATTTGCAAATGAAGGTGAGTTCCATAGCTTCTCTCTCCAGCTGGTTTTTGAAATTGCTTTGTAAGAGTTTAGTCACTTTGAGATCCATTAATAAGTACCCAGGCATGTTAAAATATTTCTATGTGTTACCATTTTGAATATCTGATTTGTGACCATTAATCCTTCCTTGTTGAGACTGTCCAGTTTGGCCAATATACACAGCAGCGGGGCATTTCTGGAACTTGATGGCATAGTGGGTATGCAGTTGTATGAGCTTTTGATGTGGTGGCTTATGTGGTTAGGTGATGATGTCGCTTGTATAGATGTGTGGACAGAGTTGGCGACAGAGTTTATTGCAGGGGTGGGTTCCTTACAACCCACTCTATTAGCCTGATTTAGCACGGACACTCTAATTGACAAGAGTTTTTTTGTCCCTTCTCTTTTCCACCCCATCCCCTCTTTTTCTGCTATTTATTTGTACCTCTGTACCCTTTGCTCCATTCATCTCAAGAAGTGGGTTGTGCCCACAAAAGTTCATGACATTGTCTATATTTTTTGTTAGTCTCTAAGGTGCTGCAGGATCATTTGTTGTTTTTTCAGTTTTGTCAGTTACAGACTATCATGGCTACCCTCTGACAACATTTTAAGTGTGGTTTTCAGCCAGTTATATAGCCACTTTATAGTAATTTAATCTAGATCAGACTGTGTTAAAAGCCTTACTAAAATCAAGATATATCACATTAATTGCCTTCTCCCCATTGGTTAGGCAAATCAACTTGTCAAAGAATGTAACTAGGTTTGTTTGGCATGACAAATTTGTTCTTGACAAAACCATGTTAACTATTACTTATTACTAGGGGTCTCCCAAATTACATAAGAACGGCCATACTGGGTCAGACCAAAGGTCCATCTAGTCTGGTATCCTGTCTGCTGCCAGTAGCCAATACCAGATGTCCCAGAGGGAGGAGACATAGCAGGTAATCCTCACACTACCCTGTTACTCATTTCCAGACAAACAGAGGCTAGGGACACCATTCCTACGCATCCTGGCTAATAGCCATTGATGGATCTAAATTCTTAACCACATAAACATTCTAAACACTTACAAATAAGGAAATTACTAGGCAAAGATATTATAAAGCTGACACTGCCCACAAAATAAACATAAATTCTTTAACCTGATGTCAACAAAGTGCTTAATAATAAACTGAATTATTCTCAGTCATAAGTATCAGGCTTTTCTCTACCGAAACTTTTCTTGTGTTACCTGTTATACCTGGATATCTTTGTTATCTAAATATCTTTTTAAGTTTTAGGCCTCAGTACCATATTATGTCAATACATTCCACAGGCTCAGCATTCATTGACTAGAAAATGTGTTTCCTTTAATTGGTTTTCAATTTGTCACCTTTCTGTTTTATAAACTACCCCCTTGTACTTGTATTAAGAGAAAGTATGGATCAAAATCCCACATAGAAAGTAGTAAGACAACAAAGTTATTAATTCAAGACTCGCTCCATCCCCACGGAGTCAGACCTACAGAAGGAACTGAATACTCCAAAAAAAAAAAAACTCCTTTGTGAGGTAGGAAGATGCTATATCTTCATTTTATTGATGGGGAACCAAGGTTAAGAGACTTGCCAAAGATCAGACCGGATGTCTGTGTCAAAGCAGGAATTTGAACTTAATGTGTCCTGAACTCCAGGCTCAGAAGATACTCAAGACAATCTGTTCTGTTCCCCTGCTCCTTGCCCTCCCCCTTATTTTTTTTTGCTATTCTTCCCTCAAGCAAATGCTTTCTATTATAATGGGGGTAGAGATGCTTTGAATTATGCCTCACCCTAGCACCCTGTGATCCACACACCTCTGGGTGCTAACAGGCTGAAGACACAGAAAGGGTGCAGAGCCAGTACAGGGATCTCTTGAGACATGTACATGCATCATAATTCACCAAAGGGTGGCATAATTCACCAAAGGAGATCACTACTGAAAACCAATAGTGCTATATATTTATTATGCTATATATTTCTTATGATGGATCAATATTCTTTAATGA